TTTCAGTATATTAACAATGATCAATTACTGATCACTGGAAACCGAATTTAATTTTGAGTTTTTTGAAGTATAGCTGGTATATTCGTTTCTACGTCTGATGTGTTAGTAAAAGGTGAACAATCAACTGGATTGTCAGTAACAACAATGACAAAAATCACAATGAAATTATGCGAGAATATTGGAACTTATGATTTTGTCTTTCTATTTCTTTACTTATCCTACATTTGGATACTTACTATGGATACTACATACCTACATTAGCCGCAATCTCAATCATTTTATGTATTGTGCATGTATTGAAACTGAAGGGATTATATCAGTTACTGAAGTTTGATTTAATCATGATCTAAGCAAAGAATTGCATTTTTAGAATGAGAGTAGAATTTCATTTCAGAATAAGGAGTGAATGTTGAACAACCTTCTCGTTTATTGGGAGAAGTAATGTTTATTTGTTGGGAGGGAAGGTCAAAGAAAGGTAGATATAAAAACAACACAACATTTACGTAAGTTTTTATTGTAGTGTTTTTGTGCTCCCTCACTCGGCGTCATTGTTTTTCTACTTCATATTTGTCTCACTTTTTGGCATGGCTATATATAATGTTATGTATGTAACATGTAATATCTAGATATATAGGAACATTTACATTCCTTGTTTTAGCATGATGTTTATGATGAATAGTACTCGTAAGTAACAAGATACCGTGGCCGATCTCTGGCTGAAGTCGATGGGCCACGGCAGGCACTAAGTTAGACAACACTCACTCGCACGCTCAGCTACTCTCTCACGCACGCTCTGCCACCCAACGCACGCGCAGGCACGGCCGTGCCAGCGCCGGCGCGCTGGGGCCCATGGGGCCAGCCCCCGCGCCGCGCTCTCGCCGCCGCCCGCAGCGCCTCTATCGCCGATTTCCGAAAGCTCCATTCCGACGGAAATGACGATGCCTTCGTAGCCTGAGGAAATGACTCCCAGGCCAACGCGGCGGCGGTGGCGGTGGCAACCGCACCGTGCCCGGCGTTCGTTTTTGGTTTTAATAGTCGCTAGCGCTCTCTAGGCCTATCCTAAGCTTAATTACACAGACATCAACTTAAACATTATTTTCTTAAAATCTCGTTTTATGTTACAAACATTTGTCACCGTATATGGGTGTGAATGAACACGAACACGATATATTTGGGTTAATGCAAAAAGAAATCAAGGTCCCCACGACTGAAAAAGCTGCCCCAGATGTTCATGTTATTTATACTGTACTTCGGAATATCTTTTATCGTCCCTAAATATGGATCTACACATTTTCATTTTTATATTTACACCATTTACATATGTTAAGCTTTTTGTAGCATTTCATACAATATATAATTAAGGATGATGAAGTGATGTATTAACAGTGCCAGGAAAACAATAATATTCACGGGACGACAAATGTATTTATGCAATAACAGCCCGGACGGTTGCCCCCATCAGGCAGCCACTTGGATCGCTGGCTAAGACTAATCCTCCTGAGGACACTTCTCCAGTTGTGACGACCCTGGTCGCAGAGCAGAGGTACTTTACATGGTATGAAATGTCGCTTGGCTCAAAGGAGCAGTTAAACCGAAGGGCGGGGACGAAGCAAAGAGAGAAGGCTCAGGGCAGAATCGTTGTGCGGTGTCCGGGGCGGGGGAGAAGAGGGGACGGGAAGAGGGGGCCGTTAAGGCGGATCACCACTTGCCCCTCGTCAGCGAGGTCGTTTAAGGACGACGGGGAGGGCGACTGATTCAAACAGAGCTGGCGGAATTGGGCGCCGTCAGAACTTCACGCTTGTTACGAGAACGACGTCAGAATTGTTCTCCGAATGATGCCGCACCATTTTCGTTTCAGCAAACATCTGTGCTAGTAGTGCAGTAACACTCACGAACCAATTATCGCACTAAAAACAAATAACATGAAATATGTGAAGAACTTGAGTACAAAATGTTTTTATTATTGTCATATTAGAAAGGATGGTTGATAACTGAAAACACAAATCTAAATTGTGTTGTGTGACATTCAACCCACCCACCAACTCGTGCAACTAACATTTACATCATTTAGAGACGTAAAACTCACTCACTAAAAGAAAGACCAGACATAAGGGACAGATACGTCATACAGAAATAACCGAGACCAAAATTTCTGCTTATTTTAGTTCTTGTATATGTTGACATTAAAAATCAAAGAGAGAATTAGGTTATTCTGGAGTTGACTAAATCTCTTCAGTATTGTAACAGTAATGATATCACTCGCATCGAATATATATTATTTTAACATAAAAACGATTAAAACGCGAGTACGTCTCGTGGTTAATAGACTTCCAAAAATCAGGCGGACCGGAAAGCACCGCGAGGATCGACCCGAGTGAAGCCGTCAAGGCCGCCTGGATTGCGTGCGCTGGCGGTTCCACGTGTTCAGAGTTCGCGTCGTCGGAATATTTGCCAACTCCAACGGAGTGCGGCCTGGGCGGTGCAGGGGGGCGGGGAGCAGGATGTAGGGGGAGCGCAGGGAGGGGGATGAGGTGCGGGGTAGGGTGCGGGTTGGGTGCTGGGTTGGGTGAGGGTTTGGATGT